TTTATCTTTTATGTGCTTATTTTTTGAACATCGAATCAGGGCTATCAAAATGATATTATTCGAAGGCTCCTTTCTGATAGAACCTTAAACATTTCGCATTGCCATCAACACAGCAATATTCCCTCATCAATGTTCCATCATGAACAATGCCAGTCGAAATGAACACCATGATAAACTTGCTTCAGAATTATCAATTTTTAGTTATTTCAAGGGATTCTTCGAGAAATGAACAGCACAGAAATATATTTTCAAAAATATTTCTTCTTAAGATACAAATCTAAAGACACTTCAACGAACCAAAACTGAATAATAGTGCAATGCAGTATTTAGGTAGAGCGCACAATTCATAGTGAGTGCAGGTATGTTTTCAAAAAGGATATCACTCAAGTAAGATGTAGGAGGATGTTTCAGCGTAACAACTGTTCGTGGTGTATTTTATTGCTTTGTTCCGTCCATCGATCGCTACGCTACCTTAATGTAACTACAACCTGATTACTGCTTTGCTAAATTATTCGTCACTAATCTCTTGCAATAACCCCAAACCTCTAAGTCTACTCCTGGTCGAATAACAAAAACAGAGCAGCAAATATCATTCAGACAAGTTTGCAGTAATCTTTTTGAATGCTGAAACGAAACTTGATGATAATTACTGAGCAACAATTTATGCAATTAGCAAAAATCATCGAATACCGATCAAAAAACGCTTTAAAGTGACATTTACGAAAAAAAACATATCANACAACATTATATACACTATGGATACATAAAAGAATAACAAAAACAGTATAAATGAGAGGGAGGATTCATGTATATAAAGTAAACAGAAATGTAATTAGCCACAATAATTATCACCACACGAGTTTAGTGATCGAATAACATAGCATTATTTCAATGAAGAGTGCAACAAAAATAAAGAATTTAAAAACGAGATGAATCAAATTTTCGGTGTATAGATGTAATGTACATACAGTGACATGGCCATAGGGGGGTGTTTGGAGTTGCAACCTTTCGACTACAAGAGTTGCAATTTGCAATCTTTGTTGCAATATGCAAGGTCAGTCGGTTGTGCAATTTCTTCTTGCTTACGGAATGCCTTATAAGGCTTGCTTAAAACTGGAATTTTTGCTTAGAACTGGGATTTTTGCTTAAAACTTAAAACTGGATTTGCTTAAAAGTGGTTCATAGGTAGTAACACCCATAGGATCACAGCTCCTTTCGTCTTTAAAATTCTGGCCACACTACTGTATAAATATGAACGTAATGACGCCATGCTCTTGCATACGGCTTACATCATTGACAATAAAATCAACCCGAATAATGGATACACATAATGAGTTAGGGAAGAACTCAAAATATGTATCATTTTACATATTTTGCCTTAGAAATCGTTCACTTTGATAGTAAGTAAGCGAATATGTTAACTGATAATACGCTTCTGCTCGCAAATTATCCACAACCACAATGAACTGCAGCACAACTAAACTGATAGTTTTGAGGAATCTAAATCAGCAATTTTGGATTTGATATAGCCTATGAATTATTTATCAGTTGAACATTCACGGCACTTAATTGAAACAGTGAAAAGTTGCTCGTCATCTCATTAACCAATTATCACTGCTGCGTATCCATTTGTTGTAAATCAAAAGCCTGAAAAATGATGATTTATAACGGTGAAAGGCATCAAACTGCATTCATTACTTATGTTTTAGCAGAACGTACTACTCACCCAATAAAAATTAGACAAAGATGAGAACTTTTCGTTCTGTTAACTCACTGGACCAACCTTAACCCGCTGAGCCACCAATTAACTGTTACTTCGATATTTCTAATTCACCAAACGCCTGTTTCGAAGATATTGACCGATGAATGAAAATGTCGCAAAGGCTACTCGATGACCCACTTTGTTACAAATTTATGTTGGTCCAATCAATGGAAGATGTCTTGATGATTACCCATTAACTTAATCAGGTAAAAATTTCCTTGCGATTACCCGTTTTTTTGGNATACCCACTGGCCTATCAACGGTGTAATAATTTGTTTTAACCATGATGACATTCACAATAACCGTTAACTCAAGCGCTGTCAGTCCCGTTCATTCGAAGATGTTATTGCACGAAACCATTAACTAATTGGATCATTATTGCTGTTAATACTACTGCTATTAGCAACATTTTATACTTAAGTCTGATTATTAATTACTACCATGAAATTTTCTATTCATGAACTGCATTCAAGAAATATAATTATTTCTCGTTGCGATCAACTTTACTCTAATTTGCATTTTTTTGCGAACAAATTTTAACACATAATTTGGTTGATTTTGGCAAGTCCTCATTCATTGCCTGCTCCTATTGCAAGGAAACAGAGAAGGTTTTAAAAACACGATATCGTGCAATTTATTTTCATTTTTTAAATTTACATTTATGTGGTTTGGATTAACCTATTGAGCACAACACAATGCTCAGTTGTTCACTCGTATCCTATTGGTACGAACTCATAATTTCTTGTCTAACCCCATTTATTATTTTCTTCAGCCATATAAAGCAGTTGTTCTCATCTCTTTTCTTCGCCCGCATCCCCTTAAAAATTTAAAATATTCTCGCACTCATCACGACAAGAATAAAAGTAAACGCGACCGAAAGAATTTTTTATGACTAATTTTGAATGACAACTAGAAAATGATCATTTGGAAAACAAAAAATACTACAAAACCATAACAACTGAACCCATAATAAATGTTCAACCATGAATGAAACCGTTTCAAAAATATACACGTTAAGGTCACCTTCGCCTACTTTACACATGCGTCAAACCTCACCATTGACTCTTTGACGCGTTAAAAATGAAATGTTATCTTGCTACGAGCACCCATGGTTGGGAAATGCATCATTGCATTTATGGTGTTTATTTGAATTTGTTACATTATTTCAGTCGTAATAACATGAAAGCACCATCCGCATCCTACAACCATAACAGCTCGTCTGAGGAAGAAGAACAGAGAGATCCTAGCGCATCTCGAAAAAAAATGAGATGGCCAGGTGAGTCTACAATCAAATTCGATCGTTCTCCTCAGATCTGAACTGTAATTTCGAAAGTAAGACAATGCACAATAGCTGAGTTTACTCAAAGCTGAAATTTTCTAAAACAGACTTTTAAAGATTGAATTATCTTCATTGATATAGTCGATTCTGGTGCGCTATTTGCTATCGGAGTCGATTTTATTTGATACTGCCGTTATTGGTTTTTATATTATTCTCATTATTAACTCTGTTGTACTGTCGATTCCCTTGATGTTGACATCACAACTGACTTTATGTCGTTATTTCTTTTTTAATACAATTTTTTCTGACTTACAGCGATATCCTAATTGTAAGTAACAGTTTACGAAGAAACTGGAAAGATTTGCTGTAGTCACGCGCAAAAAAAAGAAATTACGTGCAAAAAATATTTTCGTCAAAATAAATTCGATACAAGTTTCTTGTATCGAATTTATTTTGACGAAAATATTTTTTACACGGAATTTCATTATTTTGCGCGTGACTACAGCAAATCTTTGCATCGAAAACTACATGCATCGAAAATTAATCGCCTCTAATAGTAAGAAACGCACCATGCAAAACACCGATTAAAATATCCAGTTGAAATCACCATCCATATCTGATTTACCTTTACCATCCTGACTCTCTCTTGTGAATGTGTTAATATTCATTCAAACTCATTCTATATCGCTAACATATCTTTACCAATCTGATTCACTGCCAGCCATTCAGCATTATCGTATAATCATGTGCATCATTCATCTACGAATGACTTTTTTTCATGCATTTGCAATGAAACTTAGTTTATATTAATGGTAAAGAGGGGATGACAGATCAACAGTAAAAGTAATAGGTGTTTATTGTTGTCATGAACTTACATTATGACCTCCCCAATTTCTTACCTATTACCACCGTAACTAATTGCTGTAACCTTTAAATTAGGATTTTTCAGGGGGGGGGGTGCACGCACCCCCTGGGCGTGGAGAGAGGATGAGGTGAGAGGGGGTACGAGATAAAATTTCATCTTTTATACAGTACAGTAGTCTAGGACGGAGTTCAACGCATACATGTGTGTAAAGTAGGCGAGGATAGACTTCGTTTTTGAAAAGGTTAGAATGTACTCTAAAGGTATACACTTATCTGCACTGCAGACACTCACTGTAGTGGATGAGAGAGTGTTGCGAGAACACTTTAAGTATTGTTGCAGGGGTGCGAGGACAACTTGGAACTTTTTGGGGGTGCGAAGGGGAAAAAGATTCAGAGCAACTGCCTTAAATGAACGATTTTATAATGCATTTAAACATTGAAAACGCGAAGTGGAAGCAAACCCTTTATACTTCATCGTTAAAACAAAGTGTAGTTGAGGCAGAAGACTGCGATTTACGAAATCACTCAGAATCATTTTTCCATTTTTTCTCCCAGCGATTCAGTGAGATAATAAAACAGAGGAAAGCGATATTACGAAAATAATACAAGATTTTCTCAAGCAGAATGAGTCAAAATGAAAATTTAGTGAGCACCCTATGAACGGTAAAAGAATAATAATTTCTGAATATTGAGGCAAATCAAAAGATAACGTTTACCTTAGTTTGCGGAGCACAAACACCAGAACGAACACATGAATTACTGTTCCATTGAGAAAAGTTCTGAATGATATAATTTAATATCATTTGCAATTTGATGAATGAATTTTACGAAAATCGCAAAACTCATTCTGAATAATCGAACAAACCAATTATTAAAACATGATACGGATAATATGCTTATAAAGATGAAAATTCTGGTGTAATTCATAAGGAAAACAATAGATAATATTTCACTATCGTTGAACTCGAGCGATAAGAATTTTACTGGCAGGACCTTTACTTTTGCAGTACCTACTGATTTGCGAAATATTGAACGAGTTAGGAACTACTGGTTTAAATGAAATTTTGTAAATATTATTCTCAAGAAATATTGCTTTTATAACCAGATTGGCAGAAGGCTTTCGTTGTGACGCAAAAACATGGAATGACTAACTCTTATTAATCGCCGCAACAGAGCGATACTTTCATGGGTTAAATTATTCTCTTTTGATTGGCAAAGAATTCCCAATTTATTTTCAATATCTTCGCAACTTTGTTCGCACTCATCAATCGCAGCAGAAAGAACATCGTCGAAGTTTTTGTGCTACAATTTATGTTCATTGTTCATCTTTTGGAAGTTTGCATGCAAAAAGTTGATGGAGTCCTAAACTAACCACTAAACAATAATAGATTTTCTCTTCCGCACCTCTAGAATTCATTTTATTTTTTACGAAGTTCAAGCAAGAAGAAATGACCTAAGAATTGAGACTGTTGAAATGAATTATATTGAATCGCTTCTCTGACAAGGAATGAAACGTTTCTAATTCAAAGAAACCAATTCTATTCTCTCTTTTGTAAAGCTCTTTCTTATCTGAATTAAAAGATTACAGAGTAGTTTTATGAATATTTGGATCAAATGATGTTGTCCATGTGTTCCTTTATTGTTCACTGATCCGACGGCATGCTATTCATTTTAGAGATTAAACTTTACGCACTTCTGTGGTCGAATTTCGGGTACATAAAATAGCAACTTACCAATATAATTTTCTCCTTAAGAGCATCTATTATAAGTGCTTGCGTAGAGAATTGTTTCTGAAGTTGTTCACTATATTCTCTTGCTTGTACCAAGTCACTTTCAATCTTGTTTCTGTCGTTCAATTTTTGCTGCAGTTCATCGACTTGTGTTCGAAGTTTCGCGATTTCATTCTCATGCTCATGTATTGTTTGAAGAGCTGAATTTAGTCGAAATCGAGATTCCTCAAAACGACGTTCAAGTTGCGTCCTGCAATTAAACAGCGATTTTGAAAGTCTTCTTTGGAGCGATGCTACTGTCATGAAATGATTCATCTGCAAATAGAGAAGCAATTGCGCTTGGTTCCCAACTCACGAGTGCAAAAAAAGAACAACTTCTACAAGTGCTACGTCCTATCAACATATCTATTCTCCAATGCAATAATCCACGAGTAAGCATTGTGAATATCTGAAGCAATCTTTCAAATCTTACAGAGCATCCCAGTACTTTATGATGATCATAAAATTTGATCAACTCGATCTTAAAATGCAGAGTTCTACCCGACGTTTATGACAGTTGATCTGCATAATCGACAAACGAATTTTAGCCCTAGCATTCGGCCTAGGTTATATGTCACTTTCTTCATTATGGACCTGAATACTGAATCTCAACAGTTCTTAAATGGCTCTTATAG